GGGTTACCACAAAGTCCCTTTATTCATTTATTTATTGTGTTTTTGTTTTGAGGCAGGGTCTCCCTATGTAACCCGCACTAGTTTCAAACTTGCAATCATCCTGCCTCAGCTTCCCAAGGACGGGAATTACAAGCATCTTCTACCATGCCCAGGCCTTTAACATTATTTACTTTAAGATTTTTTTGGTAAGCTTGAACTGTGTGTGTGTGTGTGTGTGTGTGTGTGTGTGTGTGTAGTGTGTAAGATAGATCGCCCCCGCCAAAACCTTAGTAAAATCTGTATGCACCCAGGGTGAAGGAAAAATACCACAACCATCATCTTACCCCTGATCTTGACAGGGTCTTTCCACCACACCTAGTTTCTTTTTTATGTGGGTTCTGGGGATCTAAATTCAAGTCTTCACGCTTGTTTGACAAACACTTTACCAATGAGCGTCTCTCCAGTCCCTCAATGTGTACATTTTTATGGATGAGCCGCCTTTGATTTTTGTCCTTCTCCTCTTCTTTTCTGAGACAGGGTCTCAATATGTAGCCCTTGCTAGCCTTGAACTCATTGTCCCTGCCTCCCGAATGCTGGGATTAAAGGTGCATGCCACCGTGCCAGTTGCCTTTGACTTTTCTCTCTCTATGTATATCTTTCTACATAGATAAATACATATGCACAAATCTGAATTTGTATGCATATCAATGCATGTTTTTATAAATACATACTTTCTTACAACATGCACACATATACATGCATACATGTATCTAAACATGCAGCCTGTTGGTTCATTTACCCTTCTTTGGAACATTTTTCCAAATCAATAAAACTTTCTTGAACTGGCCAGACATGGTAGTACACATCTTTAATCCCAGAACTCAGAGGCAGAGTAGGTGGATGTCTGTGAGTTCAAGACCAGCTGGGTTTATATAGCAAGTTTCAAGCCAGCCAAAACTACATAATGAAGCCATGTCTCTATTCTCCCGCCCCTGAAAAAGTAACACTTGCCTCTAACTCACAGAGATCAGCCTGCCTCTGTCTCCTGAGTGATGGAATTAAAGGCATGCAACCATCATGCCCAGTTGTTACAGCAACTTAACCCACATCTTAACCAATACAGTAGCTGCAAAAACATCACATGACTCAGAGGGTAAGCGGCTACTGAGCAAGCATGAGGACTTGAGTTCAGACACCTGCACCACTGTAAAAGCTAGGTGTGGTGGCACTAATAACCCCAGTGCCAGGGGAGGGGCAGAGACCAGAGGGTCGCTGGGGCTTGCTGGTCGCCAGTCTAGCTCTAGGTGTGAGAAACCTTATCTCAAAGGAGTAAGGACAGTGATAGAATAAGCAGGATACCCACACCACCTTACTAAACTCAACAGATGTAACTGCTTCCCTTCGCTTGCTTACGTTTTGGTGGAATATTTTGCTGTTTCTTCCTTTTTACTCTTATCCAGTTATGTCTTTTCTTTTTTCCTTCAAACCAAAGAGAAAAAAATTAATCATTCAAAGCTATAGACATGATTTTCCAAGCCTTATCTGGCAGTAGTATTCAAATATTGTTTTCAAACTTCAGTCTCAGAAATGAGGCAAAATTCTTAACAACCAATGCAGTCATGCAAAGGCTGATCACAGAGTTAAATTTCACTTCTATCTGTGTCTTGGGGTTATGGCTTTGGGAGGCTGTAGGAGAGGACTTCCTTTGACACCTTTGGAGAATGGAAAATTAATTCCTGATGGTGCTTAGACTGACTGACCATTGGTCTGGCGTTTATCAACAGGCCCTTCTCAAGTGTCTGCCATGTAAATTCAGCCTTGCAGTGAGAAGACACAGCCTCTGCTCGTGTGATGGAGTCTACCCTGCACTGGAAATGGAAGGACGCTCTCAACTTTGTTGTGGAGAATTCTCCTAAAGTTGTAATACAAATCCTCAAGTCTTTAATTTTTTAAAAAATATATATTTATTATTTTTATTTTTATGTGTATGCATGTAATTGCCTGTAACGTAGGTAAGTGCACCTGTGTCATGCAATGCCTGCGGAAGACAGAAGAGCCTGTCAGATCCCCTGAAACTGGAGTTACAGACAGTTGTTAGCTGCCACGTGGGTTCTTTTTTTTTTGGGTGCTGGGATTCAAACCTGGGTCTTCTGCAAGAACAGTCAGTGTTCTTAACTGCTGAGCCATCTCTCCAGCCCAACATATCTTTAATCTTGCCCTTGAAAGACCTGGGAACTTTAAGGAGTCCTAGTACGATTTTTCTGTGTGGTTTTACTTTCTTTTGAATTATCCAAATACATGTGACAGTGATTCTGTGTCAGGTTGTTATTACTTATTAATCTTTTTGTATGATGTGTGTATGTGTGTGCATGTTCATGTGTGTGTATGAGTGCAGGCATGCACTTACCACAGCACACATGGGGAAGTCAGAGGACAGCCTTGGGTGTCGATTCTTGCCCTGCACTTTGTTTGAGACAGGCTTTCTCTTGTTCACTAGTTACTACTGGCTTAGCACATCCAGTGACTAGAGTTCTACTTGGTGGAAGTGAAGGCCTGACTCACAGACAGATCTTGGGATACTCCTACCTGAGACACCATCTTGGGGTGAGTCTACACAGACTCCAGGACCGAGGAGCAAGGGAGTATCAAAGCTTCCCTGCTCTTCCAATGAAGACTGTGTTAAAGAGCATTCAACCCAGTGATGCCTGTGCTTCCTAGTCTTCTTCAAGCCCAAAGCAACCTTCTGGAAAATTCTATCAAGATTCACCCGGGCATAGGCTCAATGAGTTCAGCCAAACTGATTCAAATCCACGTGTGCTGAGCTGCCACAGCTGCTCTGCCTGAGCCAGCTACACAGAAATAAAAGCTGTTATAGCCACTCCTTGGGATAGCAGAACTCAGTCAACCCGGCTAGATCTTTGTTTTCTGAGAAGCCACAACTGGCAAATGAAGCCACCCGTATCAGGGGTCATAAACTGTGGAAATGGGTTATGGCTGCTGACTGATCTGAGCGTCGCCAATTGAAACTGAATAGTGCCATCTCTGCTACCGAGGCCGCTGGCTGCTGCTGCGCACTACCATTATGACTCCTGCTGGACCCTGACTTGCTGTGTCTCAGTGGTAAGCTACAAGGCGCTGTGCCCTGGCACAGTCAGGCCTCTTAGGGCTGTCAGTAGTACTGAGGCACTACTGATTCTCCTTAGGGTTATGGATCAGCTGATGCTGGCTGTTTCACATGACACCCCCACCCCCCCAACCCCCCACCCACCCAGAAACTCATCAGTGTCGTAAGTCTGGCTGTTGGGACCATGTTGGGACATGTCTGTTATTTTTAAAAATTCCTCAATGATGTATGGAGCAAGAACAGTCAGTGTTCTTAACTGCTGAGCCATCTCTCCAGCCCAACATATCTTTAATCTTGCCCTTGAAAGACCTGGGAACTTTAAGGAGTCCTAGTACGATTTTTCTGTGTGGTTTTACTTTCTTTTGAATTATCCAAATACATGTGACAGTGATTCTGTGTCAGGTTGTTATTACTTATTAATCTTTTTGTATGATGTGTGTATGTGTGTGCATGTTTATGTGTGTGTATGAGTGCAGGCATGCACTTACCACAGCACACATGGGGAAATCAGAGGACAGCCTTGGGTGTCGATTCTTGCCCTGCACTTTGTTTGAGACAGGCTTTCTCTTGTTCACTAGTTACTACTGGCTTAGCACATCCAGTGACTAGAGTTCTACTTGGTGGAAGTGAAGGCCTGACTCACAGACAGATCTTGGGATACTCCTACCTGAGACACCATCTTGGGGTGAGTCTACACAGACTCCAGGACCGAGGAGCAAGGGAGTATCAAAGCTTCCCTGCTCTTCCAATGAAGACTGTGTTAAAGAGCATTCAACCCAGTGATGCCTGTGCTTCCTAGTCTTCTTCAAGCCCAAAGCAACCTTCTGGAAAATTCTATCAAGATTCACCCGGGCATAGGCTCAATGAGTTCAGCCAAACTGATTCAAATCCACGTGTGCTGAGCTGCCACAGCTGCTCTGCCTGAGCCAGCTACACAGAAATAAAAGCTGTTATAGCCACTCCTTGGGATAGCAGAACTCAGTCAACCCGGCTAGATCTTTGTTTTCTGAGAAGCCACAACTGGCAAATGAAGCCACCCGTATCAGGGGTCATAAACTGTGGAAATGGGTTATGGCTGCTGACTGATCTGAGCGTCGCCAATTGAAACTGAATAGTGCCATCTCTGCTACCGAGGCCGCTGGCTGCTGCTGCGCACTACCATTATGACTCCTGCTGGACCCTGACTTGCTGTGTCTCAGTGGTAAGCTACAAGGCGCTGTGCCCTGGCACAGTCAGGCCTCTTAGGGCTGTCAGTAGTACTGAGGCACTACTGATTCTCCTTAGGGTTATGGATCAGCTGATGCTGGCTGTTTCACATGACACCCCCACCCCCCCAACCCCCCACCCACCCAGAAACTCACGGACAATGATCAGGACTGAAGTAAGGAGGAATACAGGTGACATGTGGACCCGTAAGTTCAGGCTCAGTTCTGGCCATTCCCGGGGACAACGCCCCACCCTTTCCTGTCACGGCCTAGTAGGCACAGCTCCTGAGTGCCCAGGGTTCCAGCTCAGCTCTGGTTCCGTCCCATGCACATGCCTTGCCCTACTTGTTTCGGACCCATGGATGGAAGGTCTGAGTGAGAAGGAGGTGGTTTAAACAGGGGGAGTGGACAGACACTGGAATGGTACACACAGACTTGTGGCAGTGAAATTAGAACAAAAATCCAAGCACCTCAGACTAAGAGATCTTGGGGGAAAGAGAACTTGGACCCTTTGTCTGAAGGAAGTGCTCTGGTGTGCTCCCCCAACTAAGAATGGGAGATGATCATCTCTAGTCAATGCCATGGACAGAGGGCAGATTGGAGGCACTGCCCACAGCCAGTAACCCTCCCCCAAATCAAGAGCCAGACACAGTGCACAGAGCTAGAACCCAAAATCACAGGTGTCCCAGGGCCATGCTGGGAGGTGCCTTCCACTTCCTCTCTGACTAATGCATGTCCTGCTCAGGGAGCCCAGCTGTTAAAAAAATTTCTAGGGACCAAGAGTTTTCTTAGGACTGTGCCTCTGTGTGAAAGCCAGCCATTAACACGCCTCCATCATACAAACACAGCAAACTGCACATCAGAGGTGGTTGTCAGAGACTGGTAGAAGTTACGGTTCATAACGTTTGTTAAACATCACAGGAAAACTTCAAATTTGCCGTCACTGCCTCATCAGACTGGGACTGTCCTGTGCACAGTGCTCCTCAGCTCCTACCAGACCTGTGTGTGCAGCACCCATCTGGCTTTCTTCACGCCACAGCCTTGGGGATCTTGGAGGAGGGACAAGAGGAAATCTATCTTATACACCAGCATGTCACCTAGATCTTTATGTAATAATACAAAAACACAAGGCCACAGGGCGACTTCTAAATGATGCTCCCAACAGATTCTTCCCAATAAGGTGGAAACACCAAGGCACCCAGAATTTGGAAAGCATATAAACGTTCAGGATATATAGACAATGTACTGTACCTAGTTATAAAAAGAGGCCAACTGCCACACCACTATATATTCAGTAATGTGAGTGCATGTCAAAATTATTCTGCTGAGGGAGGGAAACCTTATAGTAAGTAAGTCTTATTTACAGAATGTTGCAAGAACAACCTAAATTAAATTATCATTGGAAAATAGAGTGGTTGCCCTGATGAGTAGGGACAGGCCAGAGAAAACCTTTCCAGGATCACACACATTGTGTCAATAGGATTTTTATTGTGCAGGAGAATATAATCGGCAGAATTCATCAGAGTTTCTTGAGATTTGTTCATTTCATCATAAATTTTATCTTGAATAAGAATGCAAAAGTATTGAATTCAAAAGTAATGATCGTATGCTCAAATATTGGGGGGGCTATAGTGAATGAATAGCAAAATGGTTAGATTGGTGGAAATATGACAGTTCTGTAACAGCACAATGCTCACTATGAATCTTTTTCTTTTCCAAGATAATTTCTGCCGTGTTAGATCCTATTCAGTCTGAGGCCTCTATCTTTAGCTCAGTTACTCTTAAGACCAAATAACTGTTCAAGGAGCCTGCTGAGCACCAGCCATAATGTCCATGGTCTACACTGCAAGAAAAAGTGACAAACAAAAGCTCTCGTGCCCAGAGGTCTAGTCCTTTTCTAGAATCTCCCTACAATAACAGCTTGCTGTCATCTTGCTGGTCAGATCTTAAGTTGGTAGCCATGCCAGCTGTCAGGGAGGTTTTGAACTGTGAAATAATATCTGGACACACCAATGTTCTCAGTAGGTACGGAATCCTGTTAGCTAGTTGGGGATGGAAAATGGACCTCTGGAAGCCAATATGAAGATCTGACTTCACCAATTCTTTGAAGTTTGTTGAATATTACTTTATGTTCTAATGTGTAGTTAATTATTTATACATGTTGTATATTTGAAAATAATATATTATATTTGTTTTTTTTTTGTTTTTTTTGTTTTGTTTTGTTTTTTGTTTTTGAGCTCTGGCCTCTCTCCATATATGCCCTCTCTATCAAGAGCAATTTTGTTGTCTAAATCTTTTTTCATAGTAGGTTAGGTTCCATTAGTTCAATTAGATTCATACGGAGATGTATTAAAAAATTCCCACAGGGTTATGTATGTGCCAGTACCTCCTTAGCCTGTTATTTTACTCTAAGTATTTTGAAGTTATCTATGGCTGTAATAACTTTGAAATGGATTTTTGTTTTATTATTAACAGTATTCCACCTTATCCCTACTAATGTTTCTTATGGATTGAAAAAGGATGCAATGAAACCTTTTAGAGTTAAGTTTCAAAATATTAAACTTAATGGGGCTAGAGAGATGGCTCAGCAGTTAAGAACACTGAATGTTCTTGCAGAAGACCAGGACCCAAATGGCAGCTAATGACTGTCCTTAACTCCAGTTCCAGGGGATCCGACACCCTCTTCTGACCTCCGTGGGCACTGCACTACACAGATGCATTTACATACATGCAGGCAATACACACATAAAAAATTAAAATAATAAAATATTTAACTTCATAATAGCTAGCACATGGCATATGAATTTAAAGTAAGAGAAATATAATGTAAGTGAATTTATTTGATATATGATATATCATTTATTTATTTATTTATTTATTGGTCTTTTTGAGACAGGGTCTCCCTGTAGCCCCTAGCTGGCCTGGAACTCACTATGTAGATCAGGCTGGCCTTGAACTCACAGAGATCTTTCTACTTCTGCCTCCTGAGTGCTGGGACTAAAGGCTGAGCCACCATGCCCAGCTGATATATAATATATTCTTAAATGTGTTAATACAAACATAGAAAAAATCTGGGAAGATGAACCGAAGTTTGCAAGGAATATACATTTTAAAATTAGAAAAATAAACAACCTGCTCGATCTCTTCATTGAACCCTTTATTGAATAAATACTTTCCTGACAGCAACTCTCCTAATTTTAGCATCTTTTTCAACCTTGATAGAATAAGAAATTTCTGAGTCACCTAGTTAGTCTTGATTCCTGTTTATGTGGCAATTCTTCCCTCAATTATCTCTATCTTTGGTATTGTACTGTAATCAGCAAAAAGACCAAGATGTTCCCCATCACTGTAATTCAAGACTGCTTTACCAACATATCCAGAAAGCCCAGTTTTCCACACAACCACAGGACAGATTTTTACTAAGCCCCCTACTGCTATATAACAAAGGTCCCCTTTTCCCTGGTTACGCCAATTAGGCTCTATTTTCCCTTCTAAACCCTCAGAGGTAACACTATTAACCTTCATATCATTACTAACAGCCTGCTAATGGTGATTTAGGTATCTCTAAGACAATATGGGTTTTCTCTACCATGTTCTCCACAAACAGAGTCGTTCACATCTCTGTTTCAGCTAACACACTGCTCAGAGCATTCTGAGTCTTACCCAGCATGCTATTTGAAATTCCTTCAGCCTCTACTCATCATCCAATCTCAAAGCCCCTTCCACATTCTTAGGGATGTGCGGGACTGTAGCCCACTTCCCAGCATCCTCATGCGTTGCTTAACAGTGAGTGGGGATGCGCTCTGAGAAATGCGCTCTTAGGTACTTTTGTCACAGTGTAAACACCATAGTATACTTACATAAACCAAGTCAACTACAGCTTGGCCTGGTAAGGAATCTTACTGGGCCACCATCACGTATGTGGTCTGTCACTGGACTGACCACCATTATGCAACCCCTGACATTCACCTCAGGAGCCACGGAGCCACCTTGACCTTCCTGCTTCTTTCAGGAAGGCTTTCCCCTGTTTTCTTGCTTTTCCTAGTTTCTCTGAGTCACCTGCATTCCTTGGTCCCTTCCTCCACCCTCAGACCCAGCAATGTGGCATCCTTCTGACCATTCCTCCCCTGTCACTTCTTCCTCAATCTACAGCCAAGAAATACTCCCCACTTCTAAAGGCCCATAAAATTAGATGGTTGGGGGAAATTCATTACAATAAAGTAATTGTATTAAAAATTAAGAACGTGAAAAAAAGAAAATAAGAAAGATGGCCTCATCTGTAAGGCATTTGACATTGTAGAGCTTCTAAAACAAAGTCAGAAAAATCTTAGAAAAAATATTAGATTTTTTCCCTCCTCCCCCGGAGGTCACAGTCTGCCACAACATCACAAAAAATAATATCATTAATTCTAGTGATAAAAAAACTTATCAGTAACAGCAGAAGCAAAGCAACTCTCATTTTTTTCTTACTTCTTTTCCTCTTGGGCTTTCTTAAAGTGCTGCTGTTTCCTGCATCCACAGTATCTAGAAAATAATAAACGGAAATGAGGAAATTAATAAAGAGAAGTTCCAAGTCTTAGGTCCATTCACGCTGCCCTTTGTGTAAAACAGTGTTCAGACTGTCATTCCTGTCCTCCTTCTAAAAGAACCTGAAAGCCTACTGATCTGAGACCTAGGAACCCAGGATGGGGTCTGGCTCTTCTTTTCCCCTTCCCAGTGGGACTTTGAAAAACACTTTTTGATTGCTAAGTACTTTGGTTCTTCAAGGACAAAACTAGTTCTCTTAGGCTGTTTAAATCTTAAGACATTTTTATAAAAATTAAACAAGATTCATGTGTGAAATTTTATGAGTGAGCCCTAATTGAATCATCAACATACTGGAGGACTTCAGTTGAAAGTATACACCAAACTGACAATAGTTGATCTGAACTCTGTCCTCCTGACAGGTAGAAGGAGCATCCTCAGTTGACAGAGACCTTTCTAAGGTCTTGACAAAGCATCACTGTTATCTGGCAGCCTGTCACCAGTGGTGGGGAAGGATGGGTGTGACTTAGAACACCAGTGTAGTAGATAACTGCTGTTTTAAAGAACATGTTTCTACCACATCATCCATGTATAATCAACAGAACTATCCTGCTAACACAACTTTATAAAGGTTTTTTCTCTCCAGTTCCCAAAAGGCAAGTGCAGAGAGCAGGATTCTGGAGTGGACTGGGCTACCTTCTACTCTGTCTGGAGATGTGGTACCCACTGAGCCATCCCTAAATCATGACCCTCGGGCAGCCTTATCTATTATCACCTTTTTGCCTGCTTCCCGTCCTTGCTTCTGGGTCTTCCTGCATACATCTTGGGGCACACATGACGCAGGAACACTTCTCATTTCCACTTGCTGATCGCTCTGCTCCTGGCCAAAATTGTAGGGTTTGGTTTATTTATTTTTGCAGCACTGGTGACTGAACCCAGGGCCCCATGCTCACTAGGCAAGTACTCCAGCCCAGTGTGGGCAGTGCCATCCCTAGACAGGTTGGCCTGGGCTATATAAGAAAGGTAGCTGGTAAGCCAGGGAGAGCAAGCCAGTAAGCAGTGTTTCTCCAAGGACTCTGCTTTGGTTCCTGCCTCCAGGTTCCTCCCTTGAGCTCCTGCCCTGGCTTCCCTTGATGATGGACTGTGTCTTGGAAGCTGAAAGAAACCCTCTCTTCTTCAAGTTAGTTTCGGTTTGTATTTTATCACAGCAACAAAAAGTAACTAGACCATACTATAACCCCAAGTATCTGCCCAGGGGACTTTTTTCTATACCCTTACTGGTCCCACTCCTCTCCTTTTTTGTCCAAAGTCTTCTTTCATTTCCTGCCTATATCTGCCTGTTTCAGTTCCTCTTTTATATTTTTGTTTCTCTGACTTACCCTCTTTGTTAGAAATGTACCCTTTTTTATGAGTTTTAAGTCG